TGTTGAGGCGATGCCCTCTAGTCCTAGTTTCACCTGCTAGCGGAAACAACCTCCCTGCCTCCACCTTATCTATTCCCTTCATAATCTTTTATGTTTCTATAAGATCTCTCCTCATTCTTCTAAATTCCAATGAGTATAATCCCAGTCTGCTCAGTCTCTCCTCATAATCCAACCCTCTCAACTCTGGAATCAACCGAGTGAATCTCCTCTGCACCCCCTCCAGTGCTAGTATATCTCTTCTCAAGTAAGGAGACCAAAACTGCACACAGTACTCCAGGTGTGGCCTCACCAGGACCCTATACAGCTGCAGCATAGCCTCCCTGTTTTTAAACTCCATCCCTCTAGCAATGGCAGACAAAATTCCATTTACCTTTTTAATTACCTGCTGTACCTGCAATCCCACCTTCAGTGATTCATGCACAAGGACACCCAAAGCCCCCTGCACAGCAGCGTGCTGCAATTTATTAGCTGTTCCTGAACCTGCTGGTGTGTGTGTTTAGGCTTCTGTATCTTCTGCCTGATGGAAGAGGTTGGAGGAGATCATTACCGCAGTGTGATGGGGCTGTGATGATGTTGACCGCCTTTCCGCGGCATCGAGCCATGTAAATGGATCCCGTGGATGGAAGGTTGGCTTCCGTGGTGGTCTGGGCTGTGCACACCTCCTTCTGTAGTTTCTTACAGTCCTGGGCAGAGCAGTTACCATACCAGGCCGTTATGCACCCGGACAGTGTGCTTTCAATGGTGCATCTGTAGAAGTTGGTGAGGGACCTTATGGATATGTCGAATTTCCTCAGCCGCCTGAGGAAGAAAAGGTGTTGTTGTCCCTTCTTGATTGTCACATCTACGTGGGAAATCCAGGACAGGTCGTTGGCTATCATCACTCTGAGTAACATAATGCACTTCACCCTCTCAACCTCAGTTCTGTTGATGTTGATGGGGTTGTGTTCTGCTCTTTTCTTTCTGAAGTCAATGATCAGTTCTTTAGTTTTGCCGACAGAGAGGCTGTTCTCATTGTGCCACTTCACCGAGCCCTCTATCTCCCTTCTGTATTTTGACTCATCGTTGTTAGATATCATCCCACTACAGTGGTATTGTCAGCGAACTTGTAGATGGAGTTCATTCAGAATTTTGCAACACAGTCATGGGTGTACAGGGAGTACAGTAGGGGGCTGAGGTCACATCCTTGGAGGGTTCCAGTGTTGTGTGTTATTATGGAGGGGGTGCAGTTACCTATCCTCACTGATTGGGGCTTGTGGGTCAGAAAGCTAAGGGTCCAGTTGCAGAGGACGGAGCTGAGACCAAGGTCATGGAGTTTTGAGATCAGTCTGGAGGGGAGAATGGTGTTGAAGGTGGAGCTGTAGTCAATGAGCAGGAATCTGACATAGGTGACTTTGTTGTCCAGATGCTTCAGGGATGAGTGCAGGGCTAGGGATATGGCATCTTCTGTGGACCTGTTATGTCGGTAGAGGATCAAGCTGGGAAACTGGAGTTGATATAAGCCATGAGCAGTCTCTTGAAACACTTCATGATTCTTGAGCTCAGAGCCACTGGGCAGTAGTCATTAAGGCACATTGCATGTGCTTTCTTAGGTACAGGGATGATGGTGGTCTTTTTGAATCCCCTCCCCCCAACAAAAATAAAGACAGAGTCCCCCTGGTCCTCACATACCACCCCCCAAACTCTGCATCCAGCGCATCATCCTCCGCCACCTGCAATCCGACCCCACCACCAAAGATATATTTCCCTCCCCACCCTTATCTGTGTTATGTAGGAACTGCTCTCTCTGTGACTCCTTCGTTCGCTCCACACTCCCGCCAGTCCCATCACCCCCGGCAACTTTCCCTGCAACCGCAGGTGGTGCTACACCTGCCCCTACACCTCCCCTCTCACCTCCATCCAAGCCACTAGACAATCTTTCAAAATCTGACATGAATTCACCTGCAACCTGGTCAACTGTATCCGTTGCTCCTGATGTGGTCTCCTCTCCATCAGCGAGACCAGTCACAGACTCAGGGACTGATTCGCTGAGCAACTGCGTTCTACACGCGATAATCAACAACACTTTCCTTTTGCTAACTATTTTAACTCCTCCACCCCCAACAACTCTCTGGGTAACCTGTCCACCCTGGGCCTCCTCCAGTGCCACAATGAGGCCACGTGTAAACTGGAGGAACAACACCTCACATCTGGTTCCGAGGAAGGGTCACTGGATCCGAAACGTTAGCTCCGTTTTCTCTTTCCCAGATGCTGCCAGGCCTGCTGGACTCCTCCAGCAATTTCTGTTTTTGTTCCTGATTTACAGCATCCACAGTTCTTTTGGTTTTTATTTAACACCTCGTTCTGCCTAGGGAGCCAACAGCCCGATGGCCTAAACGTGGAATTCACCAGTTTCAAAATTTACTCATCCCATGTCCAACTCTCCCTCTCATCTCCACCTCCTTGATCTGGCATTACCTGTCCATCTTTTTTCTCACCTATCCAACCCACTATCCCATTGACTTCACTACCCCTCCCTGAATCCACTTACCTCCATCCCACCTACCTTCCCCTCCCTTTTCCCCCTCCCCAGGCCTGATGAAGGGTGTGAACCCAAAATGTCGACTTTCCTGCCCCTCTGATGCTGCCTGACCTGCTGTGTCTTCCAGCTCCAAACTGTTTTGTCAGGCGGGGACTTTCGTTTGTAGGAGGGAGGGGTTGAAGATGTAGGTGAATACATCTGCTATTTGGTCCAAGCAAGATCTGAGTGCTCGGCCGGGGACACCGCCTGGGCCTGTCGCTCTCCTTGGGTTGACTCTCAGGAAGACCGATCTGACATCTGCAGTGGGGACAGAGGGAACAGGTCGGGACAAGCATCACCATGCTGGTGATATTCTGCTCAAACTGAGCATTGGGCGCATCGCGGAGGGACGTGTTTCTGTCTGTGAACTTGCACTGCTTCATTTTGTATCCCGTAAGACTTTGCCATAGATGGCGGGAGTCTGTCTGGTAGATCTGGGCCTCTAACTTGGCCTGGTCCCACCTCTTGGCCTCCCTGATGGCGATGCAGAGGTCAGATCTGGATTTCCTGTGTTGGTCCGGGTCACCCGACTGGAATTCTGGATGTCTGGTCTTCAGTAGGGAGTGAATTTCCTCGTTCAGCCAATGTTTACAGACTGTGTGTTCACATGCTTTCAACATTATCGAATCAGATCCTTTATCCCAATATCATATTCCTGCTTTCTCCTTCTGTATGGAAAAATTCTCTACCTCTCTCTCTGTCTCTACCTCTCCTCTCTCTTTCTCTCTCTCTCTGAGGAACTGGGTGGCTCAGCCTCCAAAGGGTATTCTGGTTCCCTCACGCTCTCAGAAAAGTCGTTTCTCCCCATCTCAGTCCAAGATAGTCTACCCCACATCCTGAGACTGTGCCTGCAGGTTCGAGACCCCACGTTCCAATCAGAACCTCCCATCTCACCAGGTTACTCATGGGGATCCTGGCAATGCTTCCTCTGTCTCCATGTTCCATGTCCTGTGCTCCAGATAGAGATGAGAGCGTCAGTGAGCCAATGGTAGTGTGGTAGGCCCAGAAACAGGGTCTCCTGGCTGTGGTAGGCCCAGAGCAGGGATCTCCTGGCTGTGATAGGCCCAGAGCAGGGATCTCCTTGCTGTGGTAGGCCCAGAGCAGGGATCTCCTGGCTGTGATAAGACCAGAGCAGGGATCTCCTGGCTGTGATAGGCCCATAGCCATAGAGTCATACAGCTGTACAATGTGGAAACAGACCCTTCAGCCTAACCTGTCCATGCCGACCCTATATCCTAAATTAATCCAGTCCCATTTGCCAGCATTTGGCCCATATCCCTCCAAACCCTTCTTATTCATAGACCAATCCAGATGCCTTTTAAATGTTGTAATTGTACCAGCCTCCCCCACTTCCTCTGGCAGCTCATTCCATACACGCACCACCCTCTGTGTTGCCCCTTAGGTCCATGTTAAATCTTTCCCCTCTCATCTTAAACCTACACCCTCCAGTTTTGGACTCCCCCACCCTGGGGAAAATGACGTTGACTATCCATCCTGTCCATGCCCCTCATGATTTTACAAACCACTATCAGGCTACCCCCTCAGCCTGATTATTGGTGAGGTGGCAGCGACAGCTCTTGACTGTGGTAGGCCTAGAGACGGGGTCTCCTGGCTATGGTAGGCCCAGAGACAGGGTCTCCTGGCTGTGGTAGGCCCAGAGACGGGGTCTCCTGACTGTGGTAGGTCCAGAGCCAGTGTCTCCTGGCTGTGGTAGGCCCAGAGTCGGGGTCTCCTGGCTGTGGTAGGCCCGGAGACGGGGTCTCCCAGCTGTGGGGTGACTGTGGGTCCAACATGGGACCCAGCATCAGCGGCCCATCAGCGAGGTGAGCTAGTGACAAAGAGACCGGTGACTCCGACATCAGTGGTTCAGGTACAGGCAGAGACATGTGTGTCATTGCCTAATCCATTCAGGACTTGTGGTGTAGGCAACACAGCCAAGATGGACATTTTTAGCTTTACCACTTTATTCATTTGAATGGCGCTGATTTGCGGCGAAAGTTGGGGCCTTTCCCTGTATTTTACCATTTTGTTCATCGTACAGTAAAAGGGACAATTTTTATTCACTTGTTTAATCACAAGCAGTTTGCTGACCGTAGACTGTTTGTTTTTGCTGACTCAGAGGTTCGGTGACACAGTGGGGGGATTTGCCAGGTCACCCTGTGCTGTGCTGATAATACTTTGTGCTGACCATGCCCCTGACCTCAGTCAGCCAGGGCTCGGGGAACTGTATAAATAATGTCACAGCGAGCACAAGGGCAGGTGGCGTACTCATTCCTTCCATTTTTGACAGGGTGCGTACTGACCCATAGCCAGATACAGGCTGTCAGCCCGACAGGGAGGAGAGCTACCCCAGTGTGGACCTGATGGATCACTTCAGGAAAGGCCCAGGCTCTATCCCCTGCCAGGCCCCTCCAGGCTCCATCCCCGGCCCGGCCCCCTCCAGGCTCCATCCCCAGCCTGGCCCCATCCAGGCTTCATCCTCGGCCTGGCCTCCTCCAGGCTCCATTCCTGGCCTGTGCCTCATCAGGAGCGACCCAGGCTCGGTCTCGGCCCTGTGGATAGATCAGAGCTGAGGCTGTGAACGAGGCTTCAGAACCCGAGTGTCCGAATGAAGGACCAGGCTCCTTCACCCCCCTCTGTCCTTCACCCCTCTCTCTCCTTTTAAGCTCTCTCTCCTTCTTCCCTCTCTCCTTCACCTCTCTCTCTACACCTCTCTCTCTCTCTCCTCCCATTTTTATCTCCTTCCCTCTCTCTCTCCTTCCCTCTCTCTCCCCTTCCCTCCCTTTCTCCCTCCCTCCCTCTCTCTGTCTCTGCGCCCCTCTCTGTCCAAATTATCACAGATTGTGGTCTGGGAACGGGAGAATTTCCAGGGTCGGAGACAGGAGTTTACCAGCGAATGCTCCAACATCACACAGTATGACTTCGACGACGTGCGCTCTATCCGAGTGGAAAGTGGTGTGTAAGTGACTCCCTACCACAGCAGCACACACAACCTGACCTGCCTCTCAAATGGCTGAGGAAGGGGCAGCCAGCTACCAATGTGAGCCCGGCCTGATGTCAGTGACTGAGACAGTGACAGAGCCTGGACAATAAATAAAACCATTTAGATAAACACACACACACGCCCAGGCACACACACACACACACACACACACTCACACACTCACACACACAGAGACACACACACATTCACACTCACACACACCCACACACACACACCCAGGCACACTCACACTCACATACACACTCACACACACACACACTCACACCCAGGCACACTCACACACACAGAGACACACACACTCTCACACACACACACTCACACACACACACATACACTCACACCCACCCACCCACACACACACGCTCACACAGACTCACACAGAGACACACAGAGACACACACACACACTCACAGTCACACACACACACACTCACAGTCACACACACACACACTCACACACACACACACACACAGGCACATACTCACACACTCACACACACACAGACACACAGACACATACTCACGCACTCACACACATTCTCACACACAAACACTCACACCCACACACACACACACACAGGCACATACTCACACACTTACACACACACAGACACACACACACATACTCACACACACTCACACACACACTCACACTCACACACACACTCACACAAACACACACACACACACACACAGGCACACTCACACAGACACACACACACACAGGCACACGCACACACACAGGCACAAGCACACGCACGCACACACACGCACACGCACACACACACATACACGCGCACACACACCCAGACACACACACACACATACAGGCACACTCACACACACAGGCACACTCTCTCTCACACACACACACACACACACATACCCAGGCACTCACACACACACACATGCACACACACACTCTCACACAGATATAGAGAGACAGACAGGCAGATTCACACATAGACACGTGTGTGCATATGCACAAACAGCTCAACATGCTGTCAAAAAAAACCTTACAAAATGGTTGTATAGGAACAAATAAAATGAAAGTATGGATTGGGTCTCGTTTAGCTGTCTGAGTTTTGTCCCCGATATTTTATGCCTCCTATCACCCGCCTACTTTCTCCCTGCAAATTCTTCCATTCAGTTAATCATCCAATTTCCCAATTCATTGCTAAAATTCCTCAATTCCTGCACACATTCTTCTAAATCACTTCTACCCTCTGTCCGGTGCATTCACACCTTTCCCATTATACGTATACAATCAGTTCCCTCTGTTCCTGTAAATTTATAATGATGTAGATTAATATGATCATCAGTGGGATACCAATGTGTATGGGAGTGAGGGAGAGAGTGGGATTAGACTGGGTGGGGTAATAAAGGGAGCGGGGAGTGAGGGGGGAGAGTGGGATAAGACTGGGTGGGATATTAAAGGGTGCAGGCATTGAGTAGGAGAGTGGGTTGAGACTGGGATAGTAACGTTTCAGATAGAAGGGTTAGTTTTAATATCGAACTGATTGTGATGATGTGCCTTCAATGGGATCAGATGAGGTCGTATCCACTGCCAGAGTGGTGTTGAGAGGTTGAGTGGCCTGTTCGTAGCTGATTGTTTTGCTGAAATTTGCTTTATTTTTCCAGCTGGGTTGGCTATGAACATCACGATTTTGAGGGGCAGCAGTTTATCCTGGAGCGCGGGGAGTATTCCCGATGGGAGGCTTGGAGTTGGAGTAATTCCTATCATGTGGAGTGGATGATGTCCTTCAGACCTGTGTATTGTGCGGTAAGTGCCCTGGGAAATGTCAGGCCTGGCCTGGGCTTGTGGCCTGGGCTTGTGGGATGAGCTGGTGAACAGGAGAGCCCTCCAGCAGCAAAGTAGGCCGGAATGCAAACTCCAGAAGCAAAGGGGAGGTCATGAACAGAGACTGGCAGCTAACAGAATGGGGAATGCTAATAACCAGGAAGAGAGTGGGGAAAGGAGGCTCAGGGCTAATCTGAGAACAAACAGGAGACTTACACACGTGGAGACAGACCGTACAGCTGAGATATTGAATAAATACTTTCTATCTGTTTTCTCAAAAGAGCAGTATGTCCATGCCATGGTGACACAGGAGGGAATTTTGTCCCTAGATGATTTCACAATTAATAGGGGAATTTTAACAAGGCACTGGGGCCAGATAAGATGTATTCAGGGATTTTAAAGGAGGTGTGGGGAGAGATTGCAGTAGCACCGGCTTCTGGAACCTAATGAGGTGAGTGTCATCCACATTATGGTTTTATTCCTGAAACGTTGTAAGGATAGTCCCAGCAATTACAATTTGATGCCAGTGTTGGGGAAACATCCCAAAACAACTCTTCAGAATAGAATCTGTGGAACAAGCCGAGTGGATTAGGAAGAGTCAGCATGGATTGCGGAAGGGAAATTATTTCTCACTAACTTGTTGGAGGTTTGTTTGAAGAGGGAACAGAGAATCTCGATTAGGGCGACCTTATTGATGTGGCTTACGCGGATTTCCACAAGGTGTTTGATACAGTTTCACACCACAGGCTTTTTTTTTCATTGAATTCCTACACAGTGTGGAAACAGGCCCTTCGGCCCAACAAGTCCACACCAACCCTCAGAGCATCCCACCCAGACCCATCCCCCTATAACCACCGAATCCATGGTTTGTGGTCTAAAAGGTTTCAGACTGGGACTAAGGTCAGGATTAGGGTCAGTATTGGGGCAAGAGAGGTCAGAAAGCAGGGTGGGGTCAGGAATTGGGATGTGGTCAGGATCAGGATGGAATTAGAGGGGAGGATGGGGTCAGGGAGTAAGATGTGGGTGGGATCAAGATGCGTTGGGGGCAGAATGGGGTTTGGGGGTAGAATAGAGTCAGGGATCAGGATGGGGTGGGGGCAGGTTGGGGTCAGGGAGTAGGATAGGATCAGGATGGAGTGGGAGTGCAGGGTCAGGAGGGTCCAGGGTGGGGTTAGGTGGTAGGATGGGTCAGGGGTCAAGGTGGCATCAGAGTGCAAGATGGGGTCAGGGGTCAGGATGATGTAAGGGTGCAGGATGGGGTCGGGGGTCAGGATTGGTGCAGGGGTCAGTCAGTGTGACGCTATGACTCTCCTGTTTCTGACAGGACCACTCGGCCTCTTGTATGGAAATCTATGAACGGGAGAACTTCATGGGACTGCATGCAGATCTGTGTGAGGATTACCCATCTCTACAGGCCATGGGCTGGTCTAACTGCAACGTGGGATCCATGTTTGTAAAGAGAGGGGCGTAAGTACCTGAATCATAGGGTCATAGGTCATAGAATGACCCCAGCCACTGTCCTGAGGGTGAAAGGTCAGGGCCTGACCCCAATCACTGTCCTGAGGGTGTAAAGTCAGAGCCTGACCCCAGTACTACAGTCCTGAGGGTGAAAGGTCAGAGTCTGACCCCTGCAGCACCCTGAAAGGGAAAGGTTAGAGTGAATGTGGACAGTTGGCAAACATTTCCCAGGGTGGAAATGTCTATTATTAGGGGGCGAAGACTTAAGGTGAGAAGGGGAAGAAGCGTAAAGGAGATGTGGGAGGTATGCTTTTTTAACACAGAGGGTGGTAGGTGCCTGGAATGTGCTGTCAGAGAGGGTGGTCGATGCAGATACAGTGACAATGTTTAAGAGGCACTTAGACATGAACAGGCAGGGAATACAGGAATACAGACCTTGCAGGCAGGTGGGATTAGAATGGGTTTAGATTGGCATCATGGTTGGCAAAGACACAATGGGCCGAAAAGCCTGTTCCTGTGCTGCGCTGTTTGATGCTCTATGTTTGACACCTTGACCCTCTCCTCGGTGACGTGTGAGTTTCTGACCCCGAACTGTCATAAAGTGAAAGGTCAGGGTTTGCTGTTAAATGTTGAGTTGTCTCCTTTTGATAAGGATCTGCCTTTTCTTTCCTCTGCCTCCCAGCTGGGTGTGTTACCAGTTCCTGGGTTACCGCGGTTATCAGTACATTATGGAATACGATCGACACTCTGGAGAGTTCAAACACTGGAGGCAGTGGGGATCGCACAGTCAGACTCCACAAATCCAATCTATTCGCAGGATCATGCACTGAGTACTGTCAGCCAATCCACTGCTTTTAACTTTAGCTCAATAAAAGCAGTTTTGTTATCAGAACCTGGCCACTCCATTCTTCTCCAGTGTAAGCAATTCACAGAAAGATTCCATTTCACCCTGTTCCCTGCAGATCCTTGGCAGGAAGCTGGCTTTGCCAGAGCCCATAGGGATGGTCAGGGACTGAACGCATAGCCAGGAGGCGGTCAGTATACTTTTAACACACAATCACACACACGCACACACACGCACACACTCACACACACACACACATGCACACACGCACTCGCACACAATCACACACACAAACTCACGCACGCACACACACACACATGCGCACACACGCACATGTACACATACAATCTCACACACACACACATGCACACATGCACTCACACACACACGCACACACACACACGCCCACACACACGCACATGCTCACACAATCTCACACGCGCACACACAATCACGCACATGCACACGCACACATGCACACACACACACGCACAATCACACACACAAACTCACACACGCACATGTACACACACGCACATGCACACACACGCACATGCACACACAATCTCACACACGCACACATGCACACACACACACACACGCACACAAACTCACGCATGCACACACACACATATGTACACACACGCACATGCTCACACAATCTCACACATGCACACACACACGCACGCACACGCACACGCACACATGCACACATGCACACACACAATCCCACACACAAACACACGCTCACACACTGACACACACACACAATCAAATATTCAGTAACCAAGGGAGAAAATGTGGCCAGGCTTGCTCTCAGCAAAACTGTTGGCAAGTTTTCATGGCATACATGAAAAACAACATTCAAACTGACATGATCACCCTTCCATTAGTGAAATCTGTGAAGACTTACTGCTGTCTGCACACAAAGTTCAGGTTGGGGCAGTTACAGCCGGCTTCCTCTTGGTGAATTTCTGAGCAGTCGCTCGCTCCTGACTGACTGACAAACAGACTGACTCTGGCTCACACAGACTGACTCACAGACAAACTGACACAAAGAAACAATTGACATAGGTTGACTGATTCAAAGGTTGCCTATCACAAAGATTTACTGACACACAGTGACACACAGACAGACAGACACACAGTGACACACAGACTGACAAACACACAGACAGACTGACACACAGTGACACAGACTGACACACAGTGAAACACAGACAGACTGACACACAGTGACACACAGTCAGACTGACACACAGACTGGATGCTATTCCAGAAAATACTGCTTTTCTCTGTGAGTTTACAGACTCCGGTTGCAAACCAACAGCACAGATATGCTTTAAATATTTCGAATGAACTAAAACAGTCCCCTCGAGAGAGGGAAATCTCAGTAACAATGTTGTAAACAAATCAGATCTCCAGTATTGTCAGCAACACAGAGCCAAACTCACAAATCCAACTGAAAACGTGACAGCATGCATCTCTCTAAACCGACAGGCAAAAAAAATCACAATTTATACAAAACTGATATCTCATTCTTAACACAGGGTCACATGCAGATACAGAGAGACTCTCTCATTATACAGGGTCTCTGACAGAGAGAGAGAGAGAGAGAGAGAGACTCCCTCTTTAAACAGGGTCCCTAACAGTGGGAGAGAGAGAGAGAGAGACTCCCTCTTTAAACAAGGTCCCTGACAGAGAGAGAGAGACTCCCTCTTTAAACAAGGTCCCTGACAGACAGACAGAGAGAGAGAGGGGGACTGTCTCTTTAAACAGGGTCCCTAACAGTGGAAGAGAGAGAGAGAGACTCCCTCTTTAAACAGGGTCCCTGATAGAGAGAGAGAGACTCTCTCTTTAAACAGGGTCCCTGACAGAGAGAGAGAGAGAGAGAGAGAGACCCTCTCTCTATAAACAAGCTCCCAGACAGAGAGAGAGAGAGAGGGGGACTGTCTCTTTAAACAGGGTCCCTAACAGTGAGGGGGGGAGAGAGAGAGAGAGAGAGTCTTCCTCTTTTAACAGGGTCCCTGACAGAAAGAGAGAGACAGACACCCTCTTTAAATAGGGTCCCTGAAAGACAGAGAGAGAGACTCTCTCTTTAAACAGGGTCCCTGACAGACAGACAGACAGAGAGAGAGAGAGAGAGAAAGAGAGACTCCCTCTTTAAACAGAACAGCACAGGAACAGGCCCTTCAGCCCACCAAGCCTTCACCAACACATGATGCCTTTATAAACTAAAAGCCTTTTGCCTCTATGCCGTCCACATCCCTCTATTCCCTGCGTATTCACTACCTCCCCTGGCAGCTCATTCCAGGCACTTACCACCCTCTGTGTAAAAAACACCTGTCTCTCACATCTCCTTTAATCTTACCCTTCTCACCTTACACCTGTGCCCCTTGTATATGACATTTTGACCCTGGGAACAAGGATTCTGACTATCGACCCTATCTTTGCCTCTCAAAACGTAAACCTCTATCAGGTTGCCACTCATCCTTTGTTCAAATGAAAACAAACCAAGTTGGTCTCCCCACAGCTAATACCCTTCAAACCAGATAACACCTTGGTATACTATTTCTGTACCATCTCCAAAGCTTCCTCATCCTTCTGGTAGCGTGGTGACCAGAACTGAATGCAATATTCCAAGTGTGGCCTCACTAAAGTTCTTTACAGCTGTAACGTGACCTGCCAATTTCTATACTCTATGCCCCAGCTAATGAAGGTATGTGTGCCATATGCTTTCTTGACTAACTTATCCACTTGTGTTACCACTTTCTGGGAACTGTTGACCTGTACACCTAGATCCTTCTGTGTGTTGGTGTTACCAAAGGTTCTACCATTTACTGTATTCTTCTCTCCTGCATTAGACCTTCCAAAATGCATCACCTCGCACTTGTTCAGATTAAACTCCATCTGCCATTTTTCTGTCCAAGTCTCCTGCCTATTTATATCCTGCTGTATCCTCCACCTCACTATCCACAGAACCCCAAATCTTTGTGTCATCCACAAACTTACTGATCAGACATTCTCCTCCAAATCATTTATGTATATTACAAACAACAGGAGTTCCAGCACTGATCCCTGAGGAACACCACTAGTTACTGATCTCCAGGCAGAAAAACACCCTTCCACCACTAGTCTCTGTCTACTATGATTAAGACAGTACTGTACCCATCTTCTCCATAATTTCTCTGTCACTGATGTAAGGCTCACTGCCTATATTGTCCTGGATTGTCCCTGCTGCCCTTCTTAAACAAATGAACAACATTCATTATTCTCCAGTCCTCTGAGACCTCCCCTGTGAATAAAGAGGATAAAAAGATTTTGTACAAAGCCCCAGCAAATTCCTCACCTGCCTCCCTCAGCGTTCTGGGATACATCCTATCAGACCATTGGGACTTGTCTACCTTCATGTTTTTCAAAACACTCACTACTGCCTCCATTTTTTATGCTGGCAAGCCCCAGAACATCAACATACCCCCTCCCAAGACTCACCATCCACCATGTCCTTCTCCTTTGTGAATAACAATGCAAATTATTCATTAAGGATCTCACCCACGTCCTCTAGCTCCATGCATAAACTCCCTCCTTTGTCCTTCAGTGGACCTACCCTTTCCCCAGCTACCCTCCTGCTCTTAATATACGTATAAAACACCTTGGGATTCATTTCCTTAATCAGGGTCCCTGACAGAGATAGAGGGAGAGAGAGAGGGACTCCCTCTTTAAATAAGATTCCTGACACAGAGAAAGATAATCGGAGAGAAAGGGCAGATCATCCTGAGAAACAGCTTGAGGTCATCAGTTAACATCAGGAGCAACACCTCAAGGAGAGTTAAGGAGAGAATAGGAAGTTAGGGAGCAGGTTAAGGAGTAGGATCTCAAAGAGAATCTCTCTTTAAACAGGGTCCTTGATGTACGGTGAGAGACAGAGAGATAGAGAGAGGGAGAGAGAGAGATAGAGAGAGACTCCCGTTTAAATAGGGTACCTGACAGAGAGAGAGACTCCCTGTTTAAACAAGGTCTCTGACATACAGAGACAGTATTGGAGTACTGTGTCCAATTCTAGTCACCCTGTGATAGGAAGGATGCTATTAAACTGGAGAGGGTTCAGATGTACCAGGATGTTGCCGGGAATGGAGGGTTTGAATTATAAGGAGAGGCTGGATAGACTGGGACTACTTTCATTAGAATGTAGGACGTTATAGAGGTTTATAAAATAATGAGGAGTATAGAATCAGGTGAATGGCAGGTGTCATTTCCCTAGAGTTGGGGTTTCAAGACTATGGGCATATTTTTAGGGTGAGAGGGGAAACATTTAAAAAGGAAATGGGGGCAACTGTTTTTACACAGAGTGTGGTTCATGTGTGGAATGAATTTCCAGAGGAAATGGTGAATGTGGGTATGATTACAACATTTAAAAGGCATTTGGATAAGTACATGAATAGGAAAAGTTTGGAAAGATATGGGCCAAGGGGAGGCAGGTGAGACTAGTTTAATTTGGGAACATGTTCAGCATGGACTGGTTGGACCGAAGGGTCTGTTTAGAGGTTGTATGACTCCATGGCGATATATCTATATGATTGGTCTGGGACTGATGGTCTGTTCCTAAGGGCAGAGAGATGATGTGATTGGCTTCCAGATACTGAACAGTTTATGGATGCAAATGATGTAGCCAGAAGATTTTGGGCCTCAGAAAGGCGGGGGGGTGGTGACGTTCTTTTCTCTGTAACAAAATAAAACACCACAGTTGAGGGAAATCAGTTTATTTCCTTCCCCAGTTGCTACAAACTGTGGATTTCAAACAACGCGTCAGAGATTTTGTAATTTGTGAACCAGTCACTGTATGCCTCCTGCAACAAGTGAAACTTCCTGACAAAGAGGCACATCAATGAAGGACAAGTCCTGACAATCCCAAAGGGGATAAAGGCTGCTTTTTCCGGTCTTTCCCTCTGCTTACAGAAACAATGTCTCTTTGCGTCTGTCTGAAGG